CAGCACAAGAAACCTTTGTCCCACACATCTTGTAAACGCGGCGGGGGGCCACCATTGTGCTGTGCATCTTCTGAGCACCGCGGGAGGAGGCTTTTGTCTGGCACAGTGGGCAGGCACCATAGGAGGGCACCTTTGTCCTGCACAGCCAGTAATCGCTCTGCAAGAGTGAATTATGGTGATTGCAGAGCTCTTCTCTCTCCAGACACTCTGATTTCAGATGGAGAAGTTCGTCAGCCTTGCTAGGTGAAGAGCTGCTTTTCCTGAGTGGAAGTGGAAAGGGAAGACATTGAAAGTCTTTGCATGTGTGTGTGCAAATGGCCAACAGGATAATTCACACAGACATATTGCATGACCCACTGCAAGTACCATTCCCAGTTTCAATCTTTGCTTTTCCTCATCCCTATTTTTCCTACTCATTTAGGCTGCCCTTATAATTATTATATCTTTGTTCCTTCTTATGTTTGTACTATCTCCTATTCAATATGCTATTCCTATATTCAGCATCTATATTCCCAATATTCTTTCAGATGACTAATAACCACATTTAATAGACTTGAGTCCAAATACCAATTCCTCTGGAGCTTCATAGGTATATTTTCAACCCCATATTATTACTTGTTATTTGTCTTCTCAAATGCTTTAGCGACTTCTCCAAAAGTGTGCCAGCATCCATTTCCTAGAGTCTGAGATAATGTAGAATGCATAACTCTGCATCTGTGAGATGGGACAGGATGGGATGGGATGGGACAGAATGGGACAGGATGAGATGAGATGTGATGAGATGTGATGAGATGAGATGAGATATAAGAGATGAGATGAGATGCTGAGTCTGGACCCTGTGCAGCTGCAATGTGTACTGCAGCTGCTGGTGGACATGCTGCTGGCAGCTAGAGCCATCCAGGGCATGGCAGCACACATTTGGGAGCTGCATTACTGTAGATCTCAAGTGTTTGAGGGCCCCTTGACTGGCATAAAGCAACTGATTTGCAAGTGAGATGTAAGAGTCACCACAGTACATTAGAGCAGTGAAGGTCATAATCCATTTTAAGTGATTACATTGACTTCCACTGCCCTAAGGTTCCCAGGCTGACTTATGTGGAAAGCACAGCAGTGGATAAGTCTCTCACCTGCTGATTTTTGTTATTCAATAAAGTCTGGGTTTTATCTGTTCTTATCAAATTTGAGCTTATTGTGTCTACTGTTATCCTAAAGGTGCTTTTGATTTTTTATAATGTTGATCTCTTTCTTTACTGGTATTCAGACATGAATTTTATGTGTGGTAGTTAGTTTCAATTAATCCTTCTTTTCTCAAATTAATTTTTTTTTTTTTTCTTCTCATCCCCACCCCAGTCCTCTGGTGCCTACCTGATTGTACATGAATTCTCAGAAATAATTGCCAGTAGTCCAGCAAGTTCATTAACTGATTCCCTGAAGACCCACATATGCATGTCATCCAGACCTGATGATTTGCGTATTAAATTTTTAAAAGTATTCCCTTACCTGTTTTTTTTGTATCAACAACTGTATTGGCAAGTCTTCATTATTTCTTATTATATGTCTCTTTGTGGTGCTTGGTAAATTGATTCTGGAACTTGTTCACTGTTTTACTGTCATTACGCATTTCACCTCACTCATTATTGGTTCTTCCATCTCTTTGGAGCTCCTTTCCAATGATGTTGTGCACACGATAAAATATATATTCATTTTTCTCTACATCTCTCCATGCTGACAAGTGGGAGGCTGGTTTGCTTTTTGACATTTCTGTCATTTATCTCTGTGGGACTGGGACTAGGAGGGATTTATATTTTTTTGTTCTGCAATTGTAGCCTTTGCATATTTTAGAGTATTCTAGCTGTTTCCCACACTTAACAGGTTTTTTTATATCTTTTCCATGCAGCATGCTCGTAAGATTTCTCAAAGAATTAATATCTGAAATCACTACACTCTGTGCAACAGCCCATCGGTTAATGCAATATATTGAATCATGGTTTATCATCACGGCTGTTGAAATTAGTGAGCACTAAGAATATATATCTCAAAGGACCTTGTCTTTAGAACAACTGCTTCTTATTGTCTGTCTCTTAAAAATTATTCTTTCTATCAAGAAATAGATGGCTGTTCATGCATTTAATTTAGATCTGTGTATTATTAAATACACAATTGAGATTAAAGTCATCAATGGTATTTTTCCTCTGGCAAAAATCTTATGGCCAAAATCTGTTGTCACCCTTAGGACACAATTCCACTTGCTTCAGTTGAATTTTCCAAGCCTTTGGTATATAAATCATAAATGCACAGCGTGTGCAGTGTTAAATTTTTAGAGCTCTCCCTTTAGTAGTAGTTGAATGTGAATACATAAGGGCAAAATTTGACCTTTAAAAATGACTGTAAAGGGCCAAGGCAGATACTTAGCAAGCTTTTCTTATTGCAGTATTAATCAAGCAAAGAATCATCATAATCCTGGAAACTAAGTATCCATTGTAGTGATTTTATCACCAGGGAAATTGTTCATCTGCCAGTAAGATTGTTACTAGGAAGGGGAAAATAGGGAGTGTTAAAATTGCTTTAGACTGCTGAATCATTGAGTCCCTCTAGACTCAAAGCTTGAATTGTTTTTTGAGAAGAGTGGGTTGAGAGGAGTTGCCACAGGAAAGCTGTAGGTTAATCAATTTCAGTAACACTAGTGAATGTGAGCATGATCTCTCTTGAGGACAGGAGGAAAGTAAATGGGAGAAGGCAGGATGAAGAAAGACACAGGGAAGCTTCAGAAACTTACTTTTTTTGTTTTGTCATTGTTTTTTTTTTGTTTTGTAATTTTTTGTTTCTGGATGACCCTTTCGCAGAGGAAGTTATTGATGAAAAAGGAAGGAAGGGGGGAAAAAAGCAATGTATTATTTTCATCTTAATCCAGTGGATATTAATGAGGACTGTTACAATCAAGACAGAGAGTGCAGACAGGCAGAAGTGAGAAAGATGTGTTTGTGTGGGAGATGTCTGTGTAGGGACCAGAAAGCCACGTGGAAAGATGTTTTGCCTTCAGGACTCAAAGCTGTGATCCAGGCATGTGAGAAGTAGGTGAAACCTCTGGGCAGAAGTTTCCTTACAGTGTGTTAGGATAGCCTATCCCTCTGTAAAATCAGCTTTGGTAGATGATTTTTGTGTTCATGGTGGCGGTGGGCAGTCATAGTATACCGAGCCACGCCATAACCTCAGGGACATGTCTGTTAGGCTGCAGGTGTTGCTAGAACGGAAGCTTTATTCTCCTGCTGTGCTGGCCTGCTTCTGTGTTTCCCAGGTGGGGAACAAGTCTTGGTGAGTATTGCTATGAGGTGTCTTATAGGGAATGGGATAGGTGTATTGACAGCTACCTGCAGGATGGAATCATAGAAACTTTTATGTTGGACTTGACCCTTGAGATCACAGAATCCAACTCAAGCCAGCACTGCCAAGTCCACCACTTGGTAGGATGAACAGAATTTCAGAGAATTTCTCAACAGAGAATTTCTACAATGATGGGTGAATTTGAAGGTGGAAAGCATTTGTATAAAAGGAGTATGTGGGAAATTTCTGGAAGATGTCTTGAATTGTCTCTGTACAATGAATGCAGAGAGGGGGAGGAAAATCTGTGTGTGCACGTGACATTGATGCTCTTTGTGCAAAAACATCTCTTTGTGTGGGAAGTAGTGTCTTTCCAGAGAGGGTTTTTTTGAGGATTATTTTGCTTGTGTGATGGCTGCATTTGGGGGAGCAGGGATGTGCAATGTAGCAGGTAGTGCCTCCATCAAAGACCTTCTGGAGGGGATGGTGTGTGTGGACCCACCAAGGATGCTCCATGGGTGGATAGAGGGTCCTGACAGGGATATGAAAGTGGGTGTGCAGCACATGCCATGCCAGAGCAGCCATCCCATATCCCCAGGGACTGACAGGCCACACTACATCCTGTAGGGACCATCATCCACCCTGGATTGCATCCTTCTCCACCTGGCAGGCTGTGGCCACTGTGTCCCTCATTGTTGTCACCCCCAGATTGTGATACTGTCACAGAACTGTTGCTAGGCAACAAATGTGGTTGCCGGGTCTCAACGAATAGCTGAAGGGGAAAGTGAAGTGTTGCACCATTGTAGAGTAACCATAGCAATGACCTACTATTACAGACTAAAGAATTATCATTAACAATGTTTAAGTATCAAACAGAGGCCCAGGATCCAAAGACTACCAGGCAGCATCTCTGCATAATTGGGTTACCCAGGAAGAGGTCCCAACTCTTTCACACCCCTTGGCTCCCTATCTCCATTGTCTTGGCTTTGTTTGGGGGTTGGTGGTGGGAGGATGGAGGAGGGGGTGTGGTTGTTTAAATGGACTGTGTGTCGGAAGGCACTTGCAAAACAATAGAAGCATATGCCAAAAAAAAAATTACAGAGGTAAGTCTGTGTGCAGAGGGAAGATATAAACAGGACAGGTCCACTTTGCAGTCTCAATATTATCTGTGGGAGCAGGTGCACAAAGAATGCCTTCATGTTGCATGAGATGTAGTTCAGATCAAGTGTTCTCTTTTGCTTGAAAATGCATATGCCAGGTTAAAAGCAGTATAAAATGAAAACTAAATAGCACAAAGTATGCCTGAAAAGTAGACACTTTCTTTTTCTCAAGTTAGACCAGATAGGTGAGGTGGTTCAATGAAGCTTTTATTAGCAGAATGCTTTGGGATCTCATTTTCCCAGATATGAGACATGTAGAGTATCTCTGAGTGTGATGTAGATGGCTGTGCATATGTGTATGTTTCTGCATGTGTCTGTCTGCATGTGTGTGCAGTTGTCCTTGTCAGCTGCCCCAGAGCTCAGCAGCAGGACAGCCCGGACCCTCCCCAGGCTCCCTCCAGACCAGCTGCAAGCAGCTGGGTGTCTTCCCTGGATTTTGCATTTTACAGAACATTTATCCTGTGAACAGCCAGCAAGTCACAGAACGACCCCTAGTTAAACTGTCACCTTTGTGTTTTGCAGGTACAGAACGCCATGAACTAACTTCTTGGAAGAGTTTTCCATCTGTTTTCAAGTTCTTCGGTGAGGCTGTAAAGGCGAAGAACAGCTTGGTGAAACCGACCCCAACACGGCGCTCCAACAGGATAAAATATGAAGAATTCTAAAGGAAGGGAGGAAAAAACCCACCACCACCAATGTCTTTGCTGCTTGTTTTCTGCAAGGAGTCGCCCAGCCCCTCATTAGATTGTTTTCTTCCTAGAGCACAGGGTCGTGATGTATACATCTAAATAGCGTTTTGCATTATTTCTAGATGAGTGCAACTGTCAAAGCAATATGGGTTCACTGGTTGTGCTTCCTGTGGGCTGTAACTTGGATTTTGTGCTGCCCATCAGTGTGCAGATTAAGGCTGACAGTGGTACTGCACAGTGCAGCATGGTGCAGCTCTAATTGCCCTGACATAGCCCTGCACCAAGCTGATGCCAGAATTTAACAGCTTCATCACAGTCCTATCGCCTGCAGGATTTTTTGCAGCTTCCTTCTATTTCGAGACAGAACAGAATATGTATTACTCTTTTTTAAAAGACGGCCCTAACTCCAACATGTTAACCAGCCTATGATTTTACACCTAGTAGCCTTCTCTTTCTCTGGGACCAAGTGGAATTTACTTCTAACTCTCTCATTTTTCTGCTGGCAAGAGTGTCCAAGAAGTTTGCCCAGAATTCTAGAAAGGCTTCATTGTTGAAGAGATTTTCTCTTGCTAGATCAATGGTTTTATCTGTAGATCTTCTCTTCCTTTGGAAAGCTCTACTTAAAAGAAATGCCTATTCATTAGCAGGCTGGATCACACTGTGAAATATGACAGAAAAAAAAAAAAAAAGAAAAAAAAAAGAGACATACTGCATATTTTTCTGTTTATTTTTAAACACAAAAATGCTTCCATTTTCATATGCTAGGTTTTTAATGACTTGCTGTCCCATGGTTATTCCCTTTTTCCTAAACTCGCAGGTTCCTCCCCACTTTCCCAGTCTCTCGGACAAAGGTTGGCCATCAGGGCACCCTGTGTGGGAATTTCACACTCTGCATAGGGGGTATGTGGTTGTAGCTGTAACTGTTGCATTAGGCAGGTTTTCTCCACTAAAACTAAGGGAAAAGATGTGCTTGATAGCATGCCCAGTGATCAAGCACTGTAATTAAGCTCATTTGGTGTTCATAATACTAAATTAAAATGGCCCTTTCTTTAATGGTCGTGCCCACCAGCAAGGAGGTGCCACTCAAACATGAGTTTTGGACCCAGTCCCGCCCTCTCCTCATGCAGTGTGTCCAATCCTACAGCTGGGGGTCTGAAACAGTGGTGGGGAGCATTGAAACAAAACAGTGTCAAAGCAGGGGTACCCTCCTATGCCACGGAGCAAAAGCAGAAGCGCTCATAGAGAGGTGCAAAGGGAAACCCAGCTGGATTAGGGCCTTAATCCTCCTGGTGGGAGGCTTCTCAGCACCCATGGAGTGCTTACGTCCCTCCCTGCTCATAATGGCAGCAGGGCTTCACTTCCCCAGCTCCTGCTTCCGGCCATCCCGCTGCATTTAAGCTCTGCCCTTGGGGAGGGCTGCCTGCAGCAAACCCCCGGGGGGCTGGGGGAGGTGTCAGGCTGTGCCCATGTGGAAGGAAGTGTGGTATCTGTGCCTGGCAGATTTTCTTCCTGGAGGGGATCCTGTTGCTGAGGGGAGAGGGCTGCACGTGGCTTCCTCTGGCCTCCAGTCTCTGCACTTGCTCCCAGGATGCTGCTGCCTGTGGCTAGCCTGATCCCCTGCCGTGGGAGTCTGCTGTCTCCCTCCCCAGGTCCATGTCCACCCTGGCCCCCTGGACCCTGTGTGTTTAGGGGTAAGGCGAGAGTTTACGTGGTGTGGTTTGGGTGTCTGTGCTTCATACCGCAGACGGGGAAGATGCAGTGGCCAGGGAACTTTGCGCACACACACACGCCAGACCTGCCACTCTGTCTCACTGGAGGTGAGATGGGTTCCCAAATACTGGAGGAGCAGATCTATTTTTGTAACTGTTGATGAGAAACAAACTACAAACATTTTTACTGTAACACCATTTTCTAAAGAATTTTTCTTTACTGTGCCCTGGGCCCAGCTCACATTATCACTCCTGTGGGGGGCTGTAGAGCAGAGGGGATCCTCACCACTAATACTGCTCTGCTTGCAGTGAACAAAAAATAAATATGCTATCTTCTCTCCTTCTTGCACACTTTGTGTCCTTGCACCAAGCTCCATGGGAACCCCTGTCCCTAGTGGGAAGGGTGGGGGCTGCACGGGCAGCAGCTCCACCAGCCTCAGAACACATGCAAGGGAGGCAGGTGTGTCTGCAAACCCCATATGGTTGCAAGGTTGGGACTGATCAGGGTGTGAGGGAAGTGAGGCTCATTTGTGCCCTGGAGTGGGCTGTATGTTCAGCCCTGTGGCTCAGCCCACATGAGCATGGGCTTCTCTCCACACACCCCACATCATCCATGGGAAGCCACATAGGCAAGTGGGCTGCACCATCCTCTCCCCTTTAGCTGTTCAGAAATGTGAAACCATATAAAAACACACTAAGAGAGGAGTTTTGATCAGTTTTTTGCAGAGGGACGTGGGCTAGAGATAGAGACAGCATCTCTGGCCCCAGCTGCAGAACATTTTTCTGGGCTGCAGACAGAGAGGAAGGTATGGGAGCACCCACATGGAAAAGTGACAGTGGTAACCCTGCAGCACACCAAGGAGGGATGAGTGCTGATTTAGGCTATTCCTTAGGATCGATGTTTTTAAAGATGCACTCCCCAGGCCCCTCAGGCCATGACATCTTTAGGAGACAGAGGTCTGATATCAAGCTCCTCCTGATTTCATCATAGGAAAGCTCCCTGATGTCTGACATGGTGCAACAGCCTCTGCCCTGTAGCTTGGGAACTACAAGTGCAAAAGTGACCAAAAAAACCCTCAAAAGCACAACAAAACCCCCCAAACCCAAGACAACAACAGAAAACCAACAAAACTGACCCTACAATATGACCTAGGAAAACTCCCAGCTCCTTGCCACCCAGAAGGTTTGCACATCATTGGTTGAGTCAAAATGCCACCATTGAACCCATGGACCAATGAAAGGAGTACTTCCTTTTCAAGAATGGAGAGCAGGAAAGTGTTCCTAGCAGAAAACAGCTGGCAGACCCCCAAACACAGCAGGGCTGTGTGGAAAAAGAAAGAAAAAAGGAGGCGGGGGAAAAAAGTTAGGGTAATCCCTCGTCTTCATTGTGCATACATGGCAGTACACTGGTTACAGTAACAGTCCTCACAGTGTGATTCTCCCAGACTCAGAAGAAGCTGCTGATTTTCATAGAAATCTGCGTTTTTCCTCTGTCTCTGAGAAACATCACTTATTGCGGGTAGTGGGGTTTTTTTCCCCCTCTAGAAATTTCATTCAGAAGTACAAATGAAAAGTGTCACATCTAAAACTGCATGGAGCCACATATTGCACCATTCTCAAGTCAACCAAACCAAAAATAACCTGCCAAGAATGTGTACATCCATCGTACACCAGGGTAGAGCTACATCTACAGAGTGGAAGGATGTGTGTGTGTGTGACTGCACACATTCATGGATATCTCCATCTCACAGGGATGTGTGTGTGTGTGTGTGTGTGTGTGTGTGTGTGTGTGTGTGTGTGTGTGTGTGTGTGTGTGTGTGTGTGTGTGTGCGCGCGTCTGCATTATGTTGATGTACTCGACAAAGTGTGAAAAATGTACTTCTAGGAAAACTTGAAAGGAGATGTCATTTATCATTGTATCATCATAATACCACAAATTTCACTTTTCTGTTCCATTTTGGATTGCATGTGTTTGAGAGTATTTCACTAGAGCAGTGACAGCTCTTTATTTGCATAATTATATGCTCTGGTCTGAAGAGAAAACTAACCCCCAAATTTCATGGGTCACCAAACTGCAGCAATCAATGTTTTATCACATATGCTAAGCAAAACCTAAGGAGCTATATGAAGTTTCTTGTGGATTTTTTGCTCCTCAGAAAATTAAATATGTACCTCCTGAATAGATGCAAAATCTTTCCAAGCTCTTTGTAGCTGAATTCCATTTGAAGGGAAAACTAGAGATTAGTTCGTAGATCTGGATTTCAGACCCACTAGTATTCTTATTTCAAATTGGATTCAGACAAGTAGCTTTACTGCATCTCTAAATTTTGCCATCCTAAGTAATGTCATTTAAATGGTGAAAATCAAAAAATTAAATTAAAAGAAAAAAACAAAATGGTCAAATGTAAAAAATACAGTCACCCCCTTTCTTATCAAGCCCATAGTGACTAGTGGGTTTAATTTCATTCATTCTGTGCAGTTTTATAGTATCAGCTGGGTGCTATCCCCATATAAAGATACAGATATTTGGTATATGTAGAAAACCCTTTCCTGAGCTGTAGAATTTGTTCTGGTCCATCAGTTGCACTATAAGCACATGCTTCAGTTAGGACACAAATACTCCCAAGTTTCTTTCTCAATCAAAATGCCTTCTTATGAGGAGGAAGGAACTTGGAGATGGGAACTGACTGGCAGTGGCAGTTATAATACAACTGTATATAATTGTATAGTATGTTGTACATAATACAATATAGTGCAATGTAATACAGGAAAATGCAATGTAATAGTTCACACAAAATACAGGAGGATCTGTCAGAAGTGTAGGTAAGCAGCACCTATCCCAGAGTGCATGCCACCCACACTTAGTTTCACTGCAAACAACACACAAAAAAACCCCAAAAGTTTCTCCAGGCTTCAAGCCGTAACTTCACTGGTAGAAGTTCACATGGGTTGCTGCTTTGCAGTTGGGTCACTGTAAGCTCTTGGGAAGAATACACTTTTTAAAAGTTGTCTATTTCAAGGAACATGGCCCTCAGTGATCTTCTGACCCCATGGTGGGGAGAGCAGTGCCTGGGCAGGAAGGAGCGTGCATTGTGTGGGTTAAGGACCTGGAGAGAAGAAGCACTTCTGCTATCCCTGCTATCCTATCTGTGGCTTTTTCTTTTTCTTTTCTTTTCTTTTTTTTTTTTCTGACTTTAACATCAACTCCAGAAGCCTTGCAGGGGGAAATGGGTTTCCAGCACAGACTAGCACCTGAGAAGTTTGACTTCTCACATTTGACTCCTGAGTGATCTCCAAACACCTGCTCCAGGCAGACACCAGATTCACGCCACCTCCTCACCTTGCAGAAACAAGGTGAAATGTGAGTGGGAAGTAAAAACACTGTTAAAACACAAGTCTCCTCACCACCCTTGGCTGACTGCTTGCGTGGGGTTCTGTGGGATACAGGGACAGGGTCTGCCCAACTCTGGCTACTCTCTCCAGGGAGACCCAAAGAGAGAGGACCCACTCTGAAGCATCTCCTGTCCCTCCACACTGTCTGCATCCTTCCTCTGGAGTCAAGTAAATATGAATGTTCAGAGGATGGTTCTGCAGGCTGGTTTGTCCCAGCAGAGAAAATAGCATCAGTTATTTCCCACTAAATTGCAGCACAGGAGAGAGATGATGTTGAGGGTTAGGTGTCCTTTTTTTTGTTTTTGTTTTTGTTTGTTTTGTCGTTCTGGCCTGCCCGGGGAATTTTTACCCATTATGTGCTGGGACAACCTAACTACCGGTACTTAGGGGTGATTGACAACGGACAAAGAGTAGCCGGGCCCAGGGCGGGGGAAAAGGGGGCAGAAAAGGAGGGTGGGGACAGTTTTTAGCTGGCTTTTCTTCGGCTTCGGGGAAGGACGTTCGTGTGCTGGGTCGCGGAGCTGCTGTGGTGGAGAGAAGGGAATTTCGCCATCACCCAGACGGAGCAGTTGCTTCTTCTCCTTCTCCCCTCTTGGTTGGTGGCCTCGCACCCCCTGTCCTGCTGGAACGTGTGGCAGTGCCAGGCACCGCCGCGGAGCTGCTGATACACCTCAGCCACCGGCCCAGGATCTCAGCTCGTCCCTGCTGTTTCCAGCCGACTGTTCCTCGGAGCCCTGCAGGAGCACCGGGACTGACTGCCCGAGGGGTTTGTGAAAAACAAAACCTCTCCTCCATCCCATCTCAGCTGAGAGAGCTGTCCCGGGGTCCCTGGTTCTGTGTTCTTGTTATTGCTGTAGTTATTGTTTGTTTGTTTGCCTGGTTATACTAGTAAAGAACTGTTATTCCTATCCCCAGATCTCT